GTTTCCAATGTTAAGCGCAGTGATCAATGATTCAAGCGGTATTGATCATTGGCTCATGGCTTTATATAATTTACACTTCTACAACTGCACTCACTGATTGTTGGAGACCTTCCAAGTGCCTGGCCCCGCGCTAAAACCAATAACTTCAATCGATATCGATCGATAGACCGTGACTTTGCGCAGTTCGGTGACCTTCGTAAGGCTGCGGTTCTACTTTATGACCGTTTTGCACTCGGGGTCGACCGTTCGTTGTGCCGATTTCAAAATTTGTGCGACCCTTCTGAAGGGAAGTTCATCCAAAAGCATCGTTAGGATTTATACGGTCTCCTTCAGAGTTTGGTTTCCAAGGTGTAGATACTGTCGACATAAATTAAGTTTGCCCTCGGAATTCTTACGAAATGGCGTCGAGCGTGGGGGAAGGGGCCTAGCCTCAACATTGTAACGCAGGTTTTTACACATATTCGTTTGCAACACGTTTTTCTATCTGTGTACCTTTCTACAAAAGCTTCGAATCGATCCCTCATCCCATCCAAAAGCAACAAATGGGTTCCTGTCGTTGATCTCGCCCAGCGGACGATCTAAACTGCTTGTGCTTCGTTTGCTGTTCGAGTGTGGTGCAAATTGGTCTAGATATGCGGGTGGCGGAGTAATCTTCCTCTTATTTGCGCAAGGACCCCTGTTTACCCCCTAATTTTCATCTAATTAAAGCGGGCCGGTGGAAACATAAAAGCTTCTTATCCTTAAAACAACTTTTATTTGATCCCTTCAATTCTGTTTTATTATTTTAGGATACTCGCAATGCCATGGTGGCAACAATGATTCCAGGCGGTGCTGCCATCGCTGCATTCGCTCTTTTCGCCAGAGATAAGGAAACTGTTGACTGGTGGTCTACTGTAAGTATATCCAGTCTTTGCGAAAAGTTCTAAGTTGCTTGTCGAGGGTTTGATTTCGGCTGATGTCGTACATGAATTCTATAAACCTGCCAGTTCGGGTAGAGAGTAGCGGAGATACAGCAAAAAAGGGTCATTTTCAAAAAAAAACTGATATGAAGATGAGATGATCATGAAAGAGTCACACGCTGACTGACCGGCGAATGGAAATCCTCTAGTCCTATCTCTCGGCACTCACTGGTATTTCTTTTCTTCAAACTTACGAGCGAAAAGTAAATAAGTATGCTCGTGAAAATAGATAGCGCGTCAAGACTGGGTCGGATGTATTTGGAAGCTTTTCATGCCGCAATAAGTAAATTTCTGGTGTGTTTACCAGCTAGCTGAGAATTTAGTTTTAAACGCTCCCAGAGAGTTCGCTTTTCACGGTACGAACATCGCCTTTTTGTTAGTTCATGCTGCAAAGATTTATTATTCGGTTGATTTTGTTTTGTAACCTGGGCTTGTACAGAATACTTATTGAGATTTGAGAGCTATATACAATCACCACTCGAACGAACTCACGTTGCGTTCTTGAGACGGAGCAACGGCCTCCATACCTCATTAGAAGGAGTCAAGATAGGAGCTATGAGAATGTAAGATTGTTAGGCGCGAGGCAGGCGGTTTAGGGAAACTTTCTTCGCATCAGCAGCACGACCGAATCATGAGAGTCGAGCGAGAGCGCGAGTAACTTTCAAAGTTTCGTTTCACACGTTGCACAACCCTTATATCCCACGTCATGAAAATTAGAGTTATTGCGGGAGTTCGAGGGGTTCGTTCCGCGCGCGTCCTAGACGTCGCTCATAGGGCGCCATTGTCCCTGAACAGTCATCTATCGTCTCATTGAGCAGATCTATCGAAAGCCTATACGGAACCTAACTTGTCAAGACCCTAATTTGGGGTTTGGCATTGTTCAGTCCGCGATTTTCTGCAACCTTACTTTGTGACAAGGACTACAATGTATTTATATCAACTCAACCTTTGCGACTCGTTATTACGTACCGTATTTCTGAAAAGACTCCTTTCGAATGTGGGTATCGTGGAACAAACGGAAGCTATGAACTACGCCCCGTACTTTAGCTGCTGACGGACCCCGTTGCTCGAAGGTGAATGGAGATCTGTCAGAGTACGATTCACTGAATAGGTCGCTGAGGACTACCACTTAGAAAAGGTTCTTTGGCAGTAGCACAATCGCTGGTGTATAATCCTAAAAAACTGCCAAACTACCTTCTATGGATTGCAGCTTTCGCTCGCTTCGCAGTGGGATAGAGAGCAGGGCAGTCTTGGATATAAGTGTTGCTCTTTTATACATGGACAGTTGGGAAATGAGCTCAAGCTCGTTGTTTCAAAGAAGGAAAAGGCGATTTACGCGATTGAATCAATTTGATGATTATTTAAACTAATTTCTACAGCGCAGTTAATTTTTAGCCCCAATTGCCTTTCCTTTTCAATAAAGTTAAAGATGGTTGTTTGTATAACCTATATCGACTGTGTTCTTTTTATAGCAAGTGAAGAAACCAGATTGGGCTCCATCTGACGTACGGCTGTATTCCGTTATGGACATACTGGCGCTGTCACCTCTTGGGTATGCCTCCTACCTTGTGTACAAAAGCGGAGGAGGTTGGTATTCTTGGCTTACAGTCACACACTTACTATCATTGCATAGTGGAGCATCCTTTCTTGCAGGTTTCGATTACACTGACACTCGTTTGGCTTTGGGTCTTTACGGAGCAAACATGATGTTTGCCCTTACAACTATTCCTCTTGTGAAGAAGAAGAACCTGGGCTGCGTGAGTTATTTGCTGTTCTGGTTTGTTCTTATCTCTGAGTGGATGTATCATAAGTCGTCATAATTTTAGCTGTGGAAGAATACACTTATGGTTCACTTGACCGCTGCTGGAGCTGCATACGCGTTTTACAAGGTATTTTTGCCATCTTAATTTTTAGTAACGATTGATTGAATGAACTGCGTTTTGGTTACACAATGTAAGATAGCTATTCATACAAGCATCCAGCTTTGAAAGCTATTCAGTTTTTAGGTATTCAGGTTTGAAAGGTGGGCTCTTTTGAAAGATCAGAACTGTGCACATCCCCTGCACTACTTAACTCAAACACTCGGGTAAACTATCGATTCCCTCAAGCTAGAAGTCAGGGGCTGGGCAAGAAGTACTTCTTCTATTCTTCCGTGAAGAGTTAGCAATCAGACGGTGAATCTATGTACCAGAGCTCCTATAGCCCTGACTTCGCCCAGTCGGTTTGGACGAAAAAACTTTGGGGTGAAGGGTGAAGACGGGAGTCACTTGAAGGCTACTCCAACCAGAGTCTCAGCTCCCGCTCAGAGCTTGGAAGGAAGCTGGGGCTTGTAGTAAGGAGGAATCAACAAGCTGCCTGTGCTAGGTTTGACTTCGCGATTGCAATGGCAAACCTACCTGAGCTTCACTGCCGAGTGCTAAACGGTATGATGCATGCCAGGCGGAACGACAGTCCAAAACGTCCAAGAAACCGATTAGTTAGAGCACCATTCTGTGACTTTTTTGGGGTAGATGCATAGGTGAAGAGGTTTTGTCAGTTGAGCCTCTAATTCATCTTGCAAATGAATGTAACTCTGCGTTCCTAACAACATTTCTGAAGTCTCAGCGGAAAAGGATGTACTTACATCGATATCATCAATTTGCCAAATCTTCCATTGTGCAGTTGGAAAAGAGCTGGAATAATTTGGTAACCTGCTTCTTTACTTCTTGTAGTGGAAAGGTGGGTAGTCTCAGTCGTATCCAGATGTCGCTCGCCTGAGGTTCATTGCTACTGTCGTTTTTTACGGGCTTCTCGGATTCGTCTTGAGCTGTTGGAAGAAACTATTGACCAGAGCCATACAGCGCAGCTTCGGCGGCTGTATTCTTGACGGTCATACTCCTTTGAAACTGGTATTTTTTGAGAGCTCTTAAGGATTCTCCAGAGTCATTGTTGATGCTGGTTTTTTCATTCCCTTCATGATAGAAGTGTGTTTTATTGCCTTTTCAGCACTAAAAAAATTGTTTGAAAAATCTAACGTCCATTTCACATATGCGTCTAAGCAAATATTGCAGATCGACAAGCAAGCTGGAATGTGGATGATTCCTTACGCGGTTTGGACAGGCTTCTATGCTTTCCTGACCTATTCGATTGACAAGGAAAACCAGGTCATCAAGGACATCTAAATCAGCAGATATTGAAATGTGTCTGCTTCTGTTTTACTTGCTATAATTTCTGACCGTTGTTTCTACGAGGCATATTTGCATCAGTTATATATGTTTACTTTATTATGTTGTACATAACCATTTACGCTAAGCTGATAATTTAGAGCAGTTGTAATGTTTCATGCTTTATAAACTTTTAGTGAAAGTATAGGATGTTCTAGATGAGAAATCTGTCTTATCTCCTGAATGAATATTCTAGACTTTTCGCCTTCATCACATTGCAGGGCGTTTTTCGTGTTCCTACCTTCCAAATCCCTTTTGGAGGCTCTCCTGTTGCAGTAATCAAGTGATTTTATTTAGGTGGCTTAGGCGAATGAGCTTCATTTATCGTAAGGTTGGTAGCGCGGTTTCTCAGAATGTTTCAGTTTTCAAATATTTTTTTGGTTGTTTCTGTGTAGCAAATGGTGGGTGGTACAGACACAGTTGTCCTATAATTTATTCTGGCTGATCCTCGAAGTGCGCAGTCGGTTATTGGCTGAGAGAGAAGGCTGTTGAGAAAACCAGTTCTTGAAAATGATGAGGAACATGTGGAATGCTATGTTGCAAACTCTCGAAACATGCCATGGGTGTTGATCATGCCTTGGCTGGGCATGATCAGCCCCTCATGGTATTGTTGGGTGTCTGACTCGGCGAGTTTGCAGTCGCAGATCGCGGCGATTGTGGTCAAGATTCAGAGACACAAAGGGAGAAGGCCGGCCAAAGCAAGTAGTAATCTGACGAAATCGAGAGCGCTGTCGCGATTGCACAATCGTAGAGCCCAACATCCACATTATCCACCCGTGCTGTGTAGCTGAGTACCTCCTAAATGCCAGTCTTCTGTGAAGTTATAGAATTATCGCCATCATTACAAATAACAAAAGCAAGATCTGTGATTCATGAGCAACTCGTCTGAGTGTATGGAGAAATTGCATGAAAAAAAGCGGACTGAAATATAATGTTCGTATCAAAGCAGGTTGTGTGTCGACCAGTCGTAATGTGGCCAGCTAAATCTTCCACTATCATACCGAAATTCTAACGATCAGATATCTGAGGATCCTAAAATGGTGCGTGCCATTTTCTTTATCGTAAGTACCCTATACATTTGTCTCGCTTATCTCTAATCGAGAGCCACGCTAACCCGTTTAATTGCGAAGCGTTTGTGATGAGAATGGCTATAATCAGTTTGTTAGATTTCATTCCAAGTATGATGAAAACTGAGAGGTCTGTAATCGTGTCTGAATCCTTTCCTACGCAGGACGAAAGCGTCGAGAATGAGGATGTATGGGACGATACAGAGTTGATTAAAATGTACGAGGCACTCCGTCAGCGCGACCTATGTGAGTTCTCTATGGTATTTATTTTATTGAAGCTCAGGCTTAGTTATGTATAAATGTTGAACAAAATCAATGGGTTTTGGTGAAAATATGTGACGTTCTTTTTTCACTTCTAATCTGAGGCTAGTGCAGAACACACTGGTAAAGGTTAGCAGAAAGGTGCTTACACACCAAATAGGTTTTGCGTTCTGCTTCTACTTTCGAGTCGCTCTCTGCCATGTTCGATATTTTGTAATATTAGCGTGATGCCGCTGCTGTGGTGCTGCCGCCATATGGATTAAAGCATACGAAATTCGAGATTCAATTCGATATTTCCAAGAACTCTTTAAGGGGTAAAGATTTGACCTATTCATTTGCCAGACCGGCCTCGATCATTTTTATACATATTGCTGCCGTTCGTACGTATCCATGGGAATAAACAATAGTTGGAGTATTTGGTACGGCTTCTGATCGGTTCAGATTGTGCGCTTGTTTCACCTAGGGAAATTGTAGGGTGTATCGTCCAGTTTTCCTGGTTGAAGTCAAGATGCTGTTTATGACCTTGTCTGTCAATTCTATTGTGACTTGCCTGTTTTAGCAATTTAGTCAACTGTTGGCAGGGTGAGAGACAAGGAAACGCGATGAATAGTTTGTTCACCGACTTTACTAGCCGCAGGTGGCCGCGACGGTGAACAACAAGAGGAAATAAAGGTGCCTAAGCTACAAAGCGGACAGGCTTGGTTTCGCGAAGGAGCGAGAACCCGACGATTATGCAGCCAAAGAGGACGCGCCCGTAGCGACGCCCATAATAGGCGCTATACTCGTGGTGACAGCTGCTGTGCCGTGGTAGGTTCATCTGCTCCAATTGTCAGTCTGACCGCATGAATTTTTGTGGTTGTGAGGGGTTTGCCCGCCGGGCTGTCGAGGGCAGCAGGCAGCATTCTTAACGAACCACATTTGGTCGTGAACTCCTCGGTTCCAGAGAGTAACATTTATAGGGGTGGGGGGATGATTTTGCAACTTAACTCGCCGGTTCTCCTTCCCCTTATTTTTTTATTGACCGTAACCAAGGGATTATTTTTCCCCAGTTAGTCCCGGCTCCATTTCGAGTGTCACGATGGACCAATCCTTTCACGTTTCTACCCCGAACTAAGCACCTCTTAAGCCTCAGCTATAGTGCCGAATTAACACCTGAACCCTTCATCTGCCTGGCATAGCACGAACTAGGAAATGTCAGAACCGGAGTACACTATTGGTGAAGCCGAATCGTTTTCTGGTCGGGTTTGCTTACCACTTTCTTCATTAGTACCGCCCCAATTTTCAGCTTAATTAATCTGTCTTGCGATGAATTGTTGGATGTTGTTGTGAACTTGCTGTCTTAATTGAACTTAGAAGTTTGTGTAATTTATTTCACAAGTGTAACACTGCGTGTTTAGGGCCTGCGGCCTGCTCTTACTAATAATGTTGGCTTACTTATTGGATTTGGACCTTGTCAAGCCTTTTCTTATGTGCACATTATTGCTGGTATTAAACTGTATGTAATCTTGAAGGATCGGTCAGTAGGAGATTCTTGCCTGGCCGCGACATATTCTGAGACGATTTATACTATCGCGCCATCCGCATAGCGCTCGCTGCTATATTAAGCAAAAATCGAGGAGATACGATGGAAGAAACAACCTGACAAGCCTGATGGTGAAACTTCACGGGATATCTATCGTTCGCGTTGAAGATAGCTACGGTAACACCGATTGGGTTTCTCTCGGACGAGTAAATAGTCCTCTGGCCACGTAAAAGTTACTGTTCTTATGGATGTAGGCCTGATTCAGACGTCTATATATTATCAGCGATCAGGGGCGAGCGAGATTTATGTAATTCAGCCTGATGATGGTTCTCAATCGAGGATGGGCACGTAGATGGCGAGCGCCCCGATAACGTATCATCACAAACGAGGGCCACGTGCAACCCAGTAACTCCTACAGTAAAGCATGGTTCCGTGATTTTGAAGCACTGTCCGGGGACCTCTGCTCTCTACAGCAAGCCTTCAAACCGCATCTTAACTCAATTTTTTAAAAAGTCCTGGCTTCCCATCCAAAGGCTCAATACAGGTGATACCGCTCTTGAAGATATCCTTGCAGTGCGAAGCGCCTCTTAACGTGAAAGCGGGTTCCAAAGAACATATGATTTCAATAAACTTCCTGCGAGAACACAGAGCCGTTGAAAGTTGGCACCCCCTTCACAATCCTCCGTTATTTCATTCAAATTTACGATGAAGCTCCAATTTAAAGTCTTGAGTTTTTTGAAACCACCGATCACAGTCCGCGCCCGCACACACATGATGATACTTCCACCTAAAATTCCTCGAAAACTTCGATCTGAAGACTATTACTCAAGAATTCTAATCTGAAGACGTTTTCGAAAAGGCGCTACTACAGTGGAAATGGTGAATGTATGAAAACAGTTTTGAATGTCAACACACAGTTACAGTTTGAAGAAGCAACATTTTTTTGTCCCCATTTCAACTGAAAAACTCGCTCTGCCTATCCAGCGAACCCATACTTCCGCTACATGTTTTCCCATTTCAATTTTTGCCTGTCAACTTTGCAGTTAATTATCCATTTTAGTTCCTCAGTTCATGGCAAAAGCAAAACCGCTGTCAGACACCCATAAGGGGAAAATCCTGGCAAAATAAAGCGCAAAGAGTTGTTGAAGAGCCAGCTCACACTGCTATCCTAGCTTGATTTCGGTTGTATAAGCTGATCCGTCTTCGTTTGCGTTCCATTTCCGCACACCATTTTTTCTGAGTCTGGCTCTTTACGACCTTTTTTATTCTTTTGATTCACGAATCAAGGATTGATTTTCAGTAGAGACTTTTTTCCTGTACAAGTGTTTCTCCATTTGATTTCGATGTTTTACTCCTTGTCGACTTCTGCATCAGCCTTGCTTTTTTGTGTAATCTTCGAAACATTCCCCCACGCATGGGAGCTCCAATTGACAGTTCTGCCCAGCTCGTACTGATATAGCCGTGTCTGGTCTCCTTCAAAGTTTCCACATTTTTAATTCTGTTTTTTTGCTTTGCATGAATTTTGAAGAGCAAATGAATCTCTCCATTTCAGGGAAGACGACTCGTAAAGGGTATCTCTGTCACTTACGGAACGCAAACGCGTGCTGTCCGCCCACATCCAACTGTGAGCACTTACCGATTCAAACTATTTTTTCCAAAAAATAATAGTGTGGACCTTCTAGATTCCCTCGATTGCTCCACCTCCTCCCAGTGTATTAGCTGGACTATCTGTGCCAGATGAAGCAGAAGCCTTATCAAGCATGCTCATGAGTTGGTATTACGGTATCAATCCCCAGGGTATTATCAGGTGGCTAACTCGATATCTTCTCTCGATTCATTCTGTCCTCTTGACTGCTTAGCCGCTGAGATCACTGCTCAAGAGAAACTTTTGTTTTTGGCATTGCACCATAGTTATAGACGGTCAAGTAGGTGAGCAACATTCGGCCCTCTATGCAAGTTCTTGGAAAAGTAGGTGGAAGTATCAATGCGAAATATCACCAGTTTAGTAGGATTCTTCATCTTCCATTAAACGTTATAAAGTTAGTTATGTTATAAAGTAGAGTTGCGTACTGAGTTCTTACTTAGCTAGAAAACCTCATGAAGCGCTA